ACCCAAAAAAGAATACTTAGCTCGCGACGTTCGTTCACTCGCACTTAAGTCTGCCTACGTCTATCGCATAGCTAGCTTCCTTGCCACCTCGACAGCTCCTCATTAGAACTCAACATGGTGATAAGAGACACAAACCAATATCCGATGCAAAAAGAAAAATAAAGGAAAGAAAAACTAACATAAGAACTCGGGTTGTCTCCCGGAAGCACTGGTTTAAGGTCGTTAGCTTGACTCGTCTTGCTCATGTGGGAGGGGGTTCAGGGGGAATGATTCTTGGAGGAATGATTTTAGGTGGAATGAGATTAGATGGGACAAACTCACCTGACTTGGTATGACTTCGATCGATGTGATGTAGTGCTTCATTTACCTTATCGAGCGACCGAAGATTGAGTGGTGGTAATTAGGAGTCAGGATGGAAGTCCGATGGAAGAGGTGGTGGATCTCCTTGAATATCAGTTTGGGGGACTGCTCGACCCGAGATGGGAATGGTCTCGGAAGAGTAAACAACCAGTTCAACCTTATGTGATTTCACCTCGAATTTTCGCTTTTGTGAACATGGTTGATCAAACTGAATGTCTTCCTTGTGTTTCTTTATGCGTGAAGGGAACGGAACCGGTGGTGGTCTTGGCGGTGGAGGCACATATTTCGATTCTGTCTCTTCGTAGTTTGTCCTTGAATACTCATCTGCGGTCAAAAAGTTAGGCGTGTAATCCAAATAAGCATTAGAACACTCACCTTTTTTTATGACCTGTGGTAACTCTAACTCAGATTGCTCCACGTCTTTTATCGATATGGTGTTAAGATACTCTTTGGAGTCAATTTCTGGTCGCTTCATAAAGGTCTCTTGCCACTGGGAGGCGATTTTAGCAGTTTTGTTGGACTGGAACTCGCGTAGTGATTGCATATAGTTGAAGAATTCCTTTTGTCCCTGCAAAAACCGAACAAGTAAGAAATTTATCTCAGAATCTACCTCCTGCTTAGTTGCGGACGATGGAGGGGCATATGCTTCCTGGAGTGATCTTTCAAAATGATAATATGTCTCATTGCCCTGATCGTAGTGATATGAAGGTATAGACTGATAAGTCTGGGACTGATATGATCCTTGATTCTGGTGGTAGTTGAAATCCCACTGCGAAACATCTGAAGTGTATGCATCATAAGAGAGATCGGGATAGTCCATCCAACCCGGATCATAAGGGTTGGCATATGGGTCATTCATAAAATAGTTCATATCCACGATTCTCTATTCATACTCTTAAAAAGGACGTGTCTGCACACACAAGAGAAAACAAAGAAGAAAGGAGACGTAGAGAAAAAAAATACAAAAGAAAAGCAAAAATAAAATAGACCCAGACTAAGTAGAAATTTAATCCAATTGCCTAAATTATCCCCGGCAACGGTGCCAAAAACTTGATGTCGCAAATCTAGGTGTAAAAATATGATCAAGTAATAATATTCCTAGACTCAACAATTAACCGCAAGTGTACGGATCGTATGTAGTCGCTAGGGTCGAACACATGGACAAAAGTAGACAACTGAATCAAACTCCTATCAGGAATAGATCTAAAGAATAATATGAACGATGAGAATGTATCAAAAGCAAATAATAAAACAAATGATAAACTATCAATGGCAAAATACTGCAGGCTTCGGGATTGCTTTACATCCAAGGGTCTTTCAAAAGATGCAAACTAAGTGGTTTATCTATTCGATTCAGGGAATTCAAGCTCTAAAGTAGGGATTAACCCTCTCGAATTTAACCTCATTATCCAGGCTTTATCCTACTAATCTCTCGATTCAATAGTCTAAAACCCTGGAAGCATGAATGAACGCTATCATAATCCCTAGGCAAATATTCATCTCTCAATGCAATACATGTTCTATTTATTGAGTTATTTCCATGTTAGAATCTCATATGTATATGCGAATTAAAACCCTAAGTTCATTCAATCAAGTGGCCAACAAGATCAAACGCATTAAACGCAACTCAATAAACCGAATACCAGGTTAGAATCCCATATGTCTATGCGAATTAAAACCCTAAGTTCATTCAATCAAGTGGCCAACAAGATCAAACGCATTAAACACAACTCAATAAACCGAATAGAATAAATAAAACCACAAAGTCTGGAATTAGAAACCAAAGATCTCTACATAGCAAATTCCTAACCTATAGCAAAAGAACTACTCGCTAAACATCGAGATGTCAGGGTTCATATCAATACAACAAAACATCGTAAAATATAAGGAAAGAGGAACGCTTAGTCGATTTCTCGGCTTCATGATCTCCATCTTCTACTCCGATATCTTGCTTCCTGATAATCGCCCCCTTTTCTGGTGCTCTTGGTGTATTCTCTGTGTAAAGCTTGAATGAATTTCGACCTAGAGGCTTTCCCCTCTTATTTCCCTTCGGTTTGGGCAAAATTGGAAGTTTTCCCGAATCTGGGGGTCGAACCGATCGTTTCGACAAAGCCAAACTGATCGGTTGTACTTTCTGAGCAATTTTTCAATTTCTGCGATTCCGAACCGATCGTTTCGTCCATCCCGAAACGATCGTTTCGTCCATCCCGAATTGATCGTTTCGTGTCTCTGAGCAGTTTCGACGGGCTTCACGAATTCGCTCATAACTTCTTGCTCCGATATCGGATTTGGGTGATCTTGGTGTCGGTGCGTAGATATTGAGAAGAGCTTTCCAATGAAGTAGAGAATGTATGTTTTTGGACTTGTAGAGTGAAAGATATTAGACTTGCAAATTCTGACATTTTATGAGCTTCACGTTTTCCCTGGAAACACTCCAAATGTTTCCGTTTCGTTCGTGATGTTCCGTAGCCCATGTTTTTCACTCCTTTTGCTCTTTTTATGCATGAAAACATGTTTAAACACCAAAGAACACAACCATGCAATGTCGAAGCCAAATGTGTCCTAGAATGCCTACAAATATGTAAAATAGAGTGAAATACGCTAGACATCCTATATCAAAACGTCACCCAAAATACGTGTTATCAAATCCCATAGTCTTGTTCTTGAAGCCCATATCCTTCAAGCCCATATCCGCTAATAAAAGCACTACGGCTCTGATACCATAAACGATGTTGAGTATTGTGAATGATTTTCTCATTACTTCTTCATGAATACAAGACATACATATATACATCAGATTGAGTTATACTAAGGTAACAGAGTGACATGAAATAAGGAGATAATCAAGTGAGAATATTAATACAGAACCATGCAATGTCGAAGCCAAATGTGCCCTAGAATGCCTACAAATATGTAAAATAGAGTGAAATACGCTAGACATCCTATATCAAAACGTCACCCAAAATACGTGTTATCAAATCCCATAGTCTTGTTCTTGAAGCCCATATCCTTCAAGCCCATATCCGCTAATAAAAGCACTACGGCTCTGATACCATAAACGATGTTGAGTATTGTGAATGATTTTCTCATTACTTCTTCATGAATACAAGACATACATATATACATCAGATTGAGTTATACTAAGGTAACAGAGTGACATGAAATAAGGAGATAATCAAGTGAGAATATTAATACAGAGATATACAAAGATATGAAAGAAATATATTTCCATTATAAAGTCGTGTGTTTTGTTTCTCTAACGACACCCATTTATAGCCTCAATTAAAAACCCTAATTTTAGGATGTTTTTCTCATACAGGCTGTTGAAGAAAAGGCTATGATGTATTCTTGGACAAGCTTAGACACAGCTTGGACGCGGACAAAGAGATCGCCAATGATCACTCAACAACAAACTTGGACGTGTACATGGTCATATATGACTTCGGAGACTCCGAACACACAAGAACACACATGACAGTCCATGAGTCATGACTCACTTGGAACGTGCATGGATGGTTGGGGACTGGCATGGTATGCATGAAAATGCATGGTATAACAAGAATCGGCCATATCTCCAATCTTGCCTTAAATACATGTAGTAGTTTACATGGTCTTCTTTGTTTCATGTCATTTCCATCTTTCGTTGTGTCCTCATATCCTTGTAAATCTGTAACGCATCCATTTTGAATAATAATAAGATGAATTATTCTTTCATTCTATGTATACCACATCTTTCTTCTCGCCCAAAACCATTCTCAAGACCGGACATAACCTTGTCTTTGGCTTTTCTCATTCAATTCTTGTCCGTTTTTCATAAAACAAAACTCAAACATCTAAAATTTCTATACAGACAAGTAACTCGGTATAAATCAAAGTAACTCAGCCCTAGTCATTTCTCGGAAGAAAAATTAACTTTTGCTCATAGTTTAAACTCGGTCTGAGTAACTCAATTGATCGAGTTGATCTCTGAATTATTTTTAGGATTTTACAATTTTAATAAGGTTATTTTGGTCTTTCCATATAAACGCCAGAAATCGCAATTATAACGCAACTTATCACCAGCGTTTTGATTTATAAAGTTCTGTTACGTTTATGTTTAGCTACGGGTTAACCAGTCAGTTTATTAACCGCCACCAATCGCCAGAAACCGCAACCAGTCACAGCCTATCTATATAATCATATACCACACATCATGTTAGTTTTACTTTATCATCCTTCCCATGATAATGAGTGACTAGTAAGTTTAGAATCATTCTAAAACGATTCAAGGATCTCAATATATTTAACAAATATAAAATTATATAATGAAAATATAACATATTCAACAAATGAATCAATACATGTATGGGTTTATCATATCATAGATTATCATAGAGTATCTAAACCAATTTTAAGTTCTTAATGATATTTAGTTTTTCACTTAACATTAGAACCAAAAGATAGAATTCCATGACAGAATATGCAATAACCATAATTTAACTATTTTCATAACATTATTTTCAACTCCCAAATTTGTAATAAGCATACCTTAATTACTATTATATATAGGAGAAAATAAAACTAAATTACTTAAAATTTAAAGAAAAATAAACGTCATTACCAACGTTAAACATCTTCAAAGGCTCAATCTGTATTATTATTAGCTTTTACAAAATACGGAGTTATGTTTCCTCTAGTAACATTTTAATCAAGAAAACAACTCATCTTAATCTTTATTACTTAAAACATATATTATTCTCATCCATTTTATAATTACTAATGAAGTAGTGAATTGGTTTTTTGGTGACCAAATGTAAGCCAAAGCAAACAAAGCCATCTATCTCTTGCAAACCACTCCTTTTCCACCAAGTCCACTTGCGCAGCTCATCCCCGGCAGATCCATCGTGCTCCGGCCGCCGCTGACGCCCCGTGTGAACCGCGCAACAGAGCAGTCGGTGACGAACAGTCCCGAGGAGGAGAATTCTCGGTCTCCACCCATCACAGACATTGATGCTCCTATCTTGACTCGGCTGACGTAGTTAGGCCTATATGTTCGTCCCAACACGCCGTCCACATCGTCGCTGAGACCATAGAACTTGAAGCCTAAGTCGAGGTGAGCGAGGCAGTCGTCTTCCGTCACGTTGTAGCCGTGGATTCTTGAATCCTCCGCAGTAATTGGCACCACTCTTGCCGTGGTCTTGAGTACACCCTCGACTACTACCTGAAAGGATACAAATCAAATGATCGATCGGACTATTGATCATAATGTTTACCCTTAAAAAAGATGTTCAAATCATATATGTTTTTAATATCTACCCTTTTATCTTCGGATATGAGTTAAGATATTAGATTTTTGTTATAGTTTTTCTTTTTAATATAACTTTCAAATTCCGATATCACGAATAATCGATCAATTTATCGTGTACCCGTAGTTATTGTACTCAAAATCCTCGGGTATCAAATTTGATACCGAAACCTTCGGGTACAAATACAAATATAATGAATTTTCAAGTAAACTATTTGCTAAAGAGCGAAATGTTTTCATTACCTCGATGTTGTTAGTGTCGCTGTTCACACGTTTGACTGAAACCGAAGGGTTCACACCACGAGAAGTCCACGCGGCGCCATCCAACAGTGGAAGTGAGATGTCTTTGCCGTCGAATGAGACAGAGATTCGATCGATGGAGTCGTCCCATGTGGCGGTCTTGAGGGCTCCGACATAGAGTTGGTGCTTACCAAAGAGGACGGCGATGGATTGGACCCAAGTGAAGTCACGTTTCATGCCGGGATTGCGCTTTCCGATGAAGTGGGCGTTGATGTGGAGGTTAGGGTCAGAGATCAGACAGAAGTCGCTGTCTTTCTTGCCATGGAAGTAGAAGGTTAGGCCGTCGCCACCAATGAAACGTGGGTCTTGGCACACTGATCCTGGTCTGTCACATTCTGTTAAAAGCGTCCAAATCAGTAAAAAAGTCATTAGACATATACGGATGTAAATGGGAATGGAAATTACAAATGCTAAAACATATGACATTAATGGACTTACTGCAAATGGTCTTGCAAGTTTTACAGTCAAATTCGCAACCATCAGGACAGGCCTTAGGGCAAGCGTATTCCACACCGTAACAATGAGGGTAAGCCTTATCCTTACACCTTACCCTCCTTACTCCCGCTGCTTCACCGTCATCAGATGGAGGAGAGGACGGTGCAGGAGAAGAAGGCGGGGTTGGCGAAGATGGCGGAACGGGCGACGGAGGCATAGGAGAGGACGATGGGGCGGGAGTAGAAGGTGAAGGAGAGGATGGAGATGGAGGAGATGGAGGGGAAGATGGAGGAATAGGTGAAACAGGAGGAAATGACGGAGGAGTTGGAGAAGGAGGAGTAGGAGAATATGGAGGAAGAGGTGAAGCGGGAGTTGGAGGAGGAAGAGGTGAAGCGGGAGTTGGAGGAGGAGGAGGTGACGTCGGAGGCGTAACCGGAGGTGTATACGGCGATGGCGGATTCGAGTCACCATGCGAACCGTTTCCATCATCTCCCGGAGGAGACGGCTCGTCGTTTGAACCGGCATCACCCTCGGAGGGAGGAGGAGTGGAGCCGTCGGCGCAGATGGGTTTGCAGGAAGCACAATGGACGGTGCAAGAGTCGGGACAAAACTTGGGGCAAACATGTTCCAAGTTGTAACAGTGTTTGTACTTCTTGATCTTGCATGTTGCATGGCTAGGGTTCTTGGCAATGCCCGGAGGTGTCGCCAATGATATGGCCAGTGATGCGAGCAGTATGAGTGAAAGAATCTCAACTTTCGCGTGTTTGTCCATCGTGAAGTGTGTGTGTGTATATCTATATATATTTTGATGTTTTGGGTATTTGAATTTGGTGATTTGCTCATTCAAAGGATGAGGGTTTATATAGATGATTAAGATGACTTAATCAATCAATTAATTAATTGATAGAAAGCCTTTTTGGATGTCTAAGTTACATGATAGACCGATCTCTTCAAAAGGGGATATCACTTTTATCCCAAACTATAATAATAAAAAAAAATCTTTTGAATTTTTTTAGTTTCTAACTAATTACATCTTTACAGAAAAGAATTTTTTAAAGCTTTTAAATTGTTTTATACTACACCCAAATAAAACTTCTCTATTATTGTTAGATCCAAATCCAACAATGTTTAGATTTCATAAAAAAAAAATCAAAATCTAGAAGGCCACAAAAATACTAGAGTGAAAGCTAATAGGTAACTTATTAGATTCTGTCACCTGTTGATGTTATGATTCATTAATTTATTTTTGAGTTTTACGGTTCTTAGAATATTAGATAATTTTTGTACAAAAATTTAAATTTATTATCTTGAAACTACTTTTTTTTAAAAAAAAATTTGTGGGTTAGAAAGTTTCAGTAACCACAGAGAAACAAATTTAAAATATGGTTTGAATGATCAACTCAATATAACTTGAATATATGAATTGTATTTGGAACAAATCCGATAAATGCTATTATCTTTTAGATTAGCAATATTTCTTTTGTACCTAGGCAGTTTATTTACTATCCATATAATAATAATATCTTTAGATAATGTGAATTTGATAATATTTTTTTAAAAATTAAACAGATATCCTTTGTGCTATCTTATAGCTTTCTTAACTTAATATATATATATATATATATATACACACTTTCGTAGCCCTTTACACTTTCAACCTTCTAACCGTTTTTTATATATTGAAATTATAACGATTCAAATTCAATATAACAAGCCATTTGAATGTCATTTAGGTTCTAAAAAAATTTAATTTCTTAATATTAAAATTATGTTAAACATATATAATAGGATATAGATATAACAAGTCCCGATTAAATGAACCTTATCTGTCATCTCACATGGGATTTGACAAGTCAATCAGTGTGAACATGGTTTCTTGAAGTGGAAGTAATTATAAAATATCAGAAATTATTTTGATGATATATGGTATATACCCATTTATAAAAGCAATTTTACACAAATTTGAGGCGCATTCAATCGGACTTTTCTATTTTTCTGAAAAATATAGTTAGATAAAATAAATATGATAAATTTTCGATTATAAAAAAAAAAGGTTTAATCATAAAAGTTTTCGACATCACGGATTTCAGTCATAATTTTTATTTTTAGATTTAGTTATTTTAACTTTGTAAAACTACATCATTCTATTTTTTTATTTGGTTATTTGGGTTGGTTCTATTTTACATAACTAAACAGAAATTGCACATGGATGCATAGAAGCCGACAAACACAATTTTTTATGTGATATATTTATGATATATTTTTAACCGACAATGCTTAAAAAATATAAATTTTCTAAAAGTATCATTTTTTCAAGCAAGTAAATTATATTTTGCAACATAAAATTATAAATTTTCCTCTAGCTTATTATTAATATCCTAAATGTATATACAGAAAAATTCTCTATACGTATACATATATATTTGGATAAACCTCCAATCATAGCTAGATTTTGCCTGCAGAAATTAATATGAGTGAAATGTCGATATGAAATACTTCCAATTGTAGAGGTCCGTTGGATTAATTACTGCCATATCCACTTTATGCAATTCTAAGTTTTGTATTGAAATATTTATGCAATTTTAAGTTTTATATATATATATATCCGTGTATTATAATTTATAAAAAGTTTTATTAAATTATACAATTAATACATGAGGTTACCTTTGCTCGGAAGCCAAATGAAGGACCAGAAAGCCTGTAGAAAAGTTCCTCGCGAATTGGATTTTAGCTCAATGATTATTTATTAATAAATTGCAACAATTTACATTTCTTCATACTAGGGTTGAGTATGGGTCCACATAATTGATCTATTGTGTAAAAAAAAAGTGCATGAGTAAAAAAGTGTATGAGTGAACTCGCCGCTTAGTTTACAAAACAAACGAGTTAGTTCACTTCAAAAGCAAACGTGTAGAAAAATATAATGAATATCTCTTTGTTTTTTTGTGTAGAAAAATATAATGAACATCTCTCTACACTTTATTATCATAATCTCATTAACAAAAAACTCTGTACTCTTCTCAGGTCAACGAAAAAATCCTATACTTTTTTGCTTACCAATTAAACCCTGTACTTGGTGTAATTAACCAATAAAATTCCGAACTTTTTAAAAATTCACCAAAAAACCCGCGTCTGCCAACTCAAACAAAAACAATGATATGACAATGACATGACTTCCACGTCATAGCCACATCATCATAATTATACCACATCATCGTTTCAAATAAAATTTAAATTAAATAATTTGTTTAAATTAATATATATACATACAAATTCACACATATATATATATATATATATATATATTATATTTTATAATATATATATATATATATTATAGATATGTTTATATGTATTTTATTAGTTATTAGTAATTTTATATTTAATATATATATATATGTGTGTGTGAATTTGTATGTATATATATTAATTTAAATAAATTATTTAATTTAAATTTTATTTGAAATGATGATGTGGCATAATTATAATGATGTGGCTATGATGTGGAAGTCATGTAATTGCCACATCATTGTTTTTGTTTGAGTTGGCAGACGTGGAGGGTTTTGGTGAATTTTTAAAAAGTTCAGAGTTTTATAGGTTAATTACACCAAGTACAGGATTTAATTGGTAAACAAAAAAGTATAGGGTTTTTTCGTTGACCTGAAAAAAGTACAGAGTTTTTTTGGCGATTTCCTCTAATATATTATTATTGTTTTTACTTTTTAACATTTTCTTGCATACATGAAAATGTCACAGCGAACTTTCTATAAAATTCTTATTTAACAATAAAGGGTATGAAATGAAAACCCTAAAAACTCTAGGGTTCTAATTGATAAATATCATACGATCTTTTTTTTCTGTTAAAGGTTGTTTGTTTTGATTTCCTAAAATTTTACAAAAAAAATTGTTCTCACTCTCAGTGGTACCCTGAATTACATCGGAAGGTTGATGCAATAAAAATTGACTATCAATTAAAGAAACCCATGAAAATTCCGTGACTCCTGAACATAATGAGTCAGAAATTGTTCCCTCCAAACCATCTTTGGAGGAGTTGACTTGCTACGCCCGGGTGTGTTTGGCGTATTCCCGCCATCCTCATCCTGAATGTTTTGTCCACAATCTTGAGTATGGCTGCAACATCCTTGTAAGTGGAAGTATGTATCTTATCATTTCTTTCCCTCCATATAGAGTAGATGTAGATCTGCCAACTAATAATCGCTCCCCATTGCATATCTCTGCATGTCCAGTTTCTTAAAAGCCACATTTGAATGGACTCCCAAGTCAGAGAAGGTGGAAGACTTCCCCACCTGCCCAGAACTGTTCGACACAAGTCCTGTACTGCAGAGCACTGGAAGAAAAGATGATCCCTGCTCTCATTATCAATCCCGCAATAAATGCAGACTAGATCCGTTTGAATACCCAAACTGCCGGTTAAGAGTAAAACAACCAAGTAATAAAAGAGTGTTTAGGAATTAAGAACCTGCACCATATGATGAGTGCGAGATTGCGTCCCATCCATGAAACATTCGATCCGGATCGGATGCCACTCATATGGGATATGCTTGTGATTGAGGCGATGATATAATCGCGCCAACGTCCGAACGTTAGGACGGATATGAGCATCCGTTGACTTGCGTAGATAGCCCGATTATAGTCGGTACTATTGCGTGACGGGGAAAATACGTTTCTTTGTAACAGTGCCAACGTTTTCGCTAGCGACGGAGTGGATTTCGGGATAGAGCGATCCTCCCAAAGATGAGGCATTACACATACCTGAGATTCGGGTAGATCTGAGTCTCCCGAGGAGGTGGTACGGACTTACTCTGCCAGGTTCGGGTACGAACCTGACAAGTATTTCTGTGGTCGATGGTCGACGAGGGGGAGTTGCAGCGACTGACTCTCCTGTTATAGTCGATGGCATCGGTTGGAGCCGACGTCTGGTGAACTCTGGTATTGAAAGATGACATCAATATCGGAGCGAGATGACACGCCTAGTATTGAGAGGTAACATCGATGCTAGGGTGGGATGATGTGTTTGGACGAAGAAAAACATGACTATGCCGGATCCGGTTGATTGTGGTAGGGATGGATTCCGAGGAGAGAGGTGGTTGTGCTATGCACATGGAGAGTATATGACCTACGCATGAGGCGTGTAGAGATGATTTGACGAATTACGTCATGTGACTTGTCGCACGGACTTGATTGTGATTGCTTATATTATTCATGTGATTCCATGTTTTGATTGATTTATTAGATTATTAATATCTATCTATGTATTGCTTTTCCTGACTCCATGAGAGCTAGAACTCTGGGTTACGTCCGAGTTCACTCTCTAAGCAATTAGTTTAGGACATTGTTACACAACGTTTTAGGTTGGGAGTAGTAGTAGTTGCGGATCGGACATAGGAGACCTGGACAGCTTATCACTTACCGATCATGTATAATTACTGCTTATGATACACTTATTTTTGTGGGAAACGGTTTTGTGTCATATCGATGGTAGACTTTTACGGTTTGTAATAATGTTATCGCTATTACTTGTCTATATATAATTATAACTCGAATAATGTATCATATATGTATGTATTAATGTTTTCCTTTCCCTAACTCTGAAAAAGAAAAGTTTTAAATTCCCAAAAAAATTTGGAATTGTATTTTTTTTAATTGTCCATGTGATGTAACTCATATTACGGGATACGAGTTACGAGCGTCGTACTAATTAACTCACCATGGGTAATAATGTCAATTTGGATAACCTAACCCACTTGGGTACAACCCATTTGGGTCCAATAATTTGTTGGATTGGGTTT